TTTCTAGTTGCCACAATTTTTGTTGCTAGATAAACTATAGTTTTTTATAAATTAAAATAGAAGTTGGAGATACATGTAAAAACGTTCCCCCCCCCCCCCCCCAACGTCAGAGCACGAATGAGTTTCCCTTTCTTCTTCCTCTTTAACCAAGATGCAGATTCCCTGGTCAATATTTTGCTAACGAATTTTTAACCATTTTTTTTTGGGTGGAAAATGTATATTGTTACTCTTGAACAGATCATATTTATTTATCCCTTTACGCAAAATTTTAATGTCATTATTTTTTTGGTTAAAGCTAAGTCAGTTAACTAACCTGATCATTTAATGGTGTAACCATATAATTTAATACAGTATTTTTGCTCTAACTACACTTTTCGGAAAACGCCTCTTATCAGGCCATTGGAACGTAACTGATGTTTGCAACGGGTTACTTGGTGGGTTTGCAGCCATAACCGCAGGCTGCTCTGTGGTAGACCCATGGGCAGCCATCGTCTGCGGCTTTGTGGCTTCCCTCGTCCTTATCGGATGCAACAAACTCGCAAAACTTCTAAAATACGATGATCCGCTCGAAGCTGCGCAACTACACGGAGGGTGCGGGGGTATGGGGGCTGATATTCGTAGGACTGTTTGCAAAGGAGAAGTACGTAAATGAGGTTTACGGCGCCAGCCCGGGAAAGCACTACGGGCTATTCATGGGTGGAGGCGGGAAGCTATTGGGAGCACAATTGGTTCAAATAGTTGTGATTATAGGATGGGTTGGTGCCACAATGGGAACACTCTTCTTCATCCTCAAGAAGATTAAACTTCTAAGGATCTCGGAGCAAGATGAGATGAAAGGAATGTAAACATTTTCCTAATGATTTCCACTTATGAAATCTATCCCAAGATCATCTAGTTTGATTTAACTCAATCACAAACACTTTCTTGGAGGAGAAGAAAGACTAACCTTGATCCATTTCTTGATTCGTTTGAAATGGAAGCAATTTATCAATTGATTTCTTCCTCCCTTTGACCTCTTAATCCTTACGATTCCTTTTGGTGGAGAAAGAATCAAATCCTTCTTAGTGACGTTTGTTCTCTACGGTTTTCTCTTGTGTTACCTTTTCTTAACAACGTATTGTTCATATATATATGTTATTCTCTCTACGAAAACACATGAGAACCCATACGTTGCTATTAAGCAACCGTCACGTCCATTACTCACGTTATAATTGTGGTAATATTTAATTAATAACCACCATGTATATAATATACACATACCTGACCATTAACGAAGGATGTCTATACAATATATAATAAGGTAAGGGAGGAGGATTATCAATACACCCGAATATTAATGTTTTAATCGAAACCGATCCATCACGGTGTCGTCTTTTATATTAG